AAATTATATGAGCGGGATCTATATGAACTACAAGCCAATAATGGCGCAGCCGGGTTGGATCTTATGCGGCTAGCAGGCAGGCAGCAACAAAGGAAAACCCCAAGCAGAGCACTGTGCTCAAGCACCTCCCACGCTCGGCTGCCCCTGGCAAGATGGCTGCCCTTGCGGCTGGCCACGTGACTATAAAGATGGCCGCTGCACTAACCGGGAAGGCGCTGAATGGAACCCCCCACCTAAGTTGTCCTCCGTAGAATGACTTTCCAAATTAGCACAATTAAAGGCAATTGAACGCAAACGGTGATAGCAGGCACGGCTGTAAATAATGCAGACTCTGCGCGTTGTAATTAATTATTACCGCCGCTATGCTTCCCACTAGGATTGCTAACTTCCCAGGCGCTGCTGCCTATGGCAAGATGGCGACCGCCGGCTGGCCACGTGGGCTGTTTTTTAAATGGCCGCGTGCGGACTCGTCGCCTAGCAACAAAACAGCTCAATACAGAAACTCGGAAGCGCTGTTACTCAAGCCTCAACTGAGAAAAGAGGGCACTGCGCGAGTGTAGCAATACGAAAACCCCCCCGCCTAGGAATATTGTTGCCCGGGCAGTGTGAGCTAAAATTACTAGCTAAACCGTGAGCTAAACTGACCGCCTCCCCTCGCCGGCGCTTCAAGCCTCTGGACCCGGGAGCAGCGCAATCCCCCCCTACGCTCTTAGCAGACCTGATCCGACGAGAGCGCAGTCCTCCAGGAGTATGGGTGGAAGCACCAAGGCTGGCGGCTGAGCAATCCGAAGGCTGGGCGACCCTGGGGCAGCGAGTGTGGTATGCCGGCTGAGCGCTCTGATGGCGGACGGAAGGCTGCGTGTGCGCTGCCGGTAGCTGAGGTGACCAGGGACGGCTGCGATCCCGCCAGTCAGCTGTTTTAAAACAGCGCAGTCGCGGCTTGCCCAAAATCTCCTAAAAATTGTAACGGCGCTGGAAAGAAAGGCTAGCTCCGCTCCGCAGCGGTAGCTCAGCAAGGCTCCCGAAAACTAACGGCGGGAAAAACGATCCACACACTCCAATCCAAAATTAATCGCAACTCCGTTTCAGCAGGCTAAAGCTTGCCGTCCGATGATCCACGTGGCTGAGTAGTTCCCGACGATTAGCAAACTCAGCTGGCACAAACGTGGGGGCTAGCCGGAGAAGAGAGGGCGAGCCCCCTCCGCTCCGGCCCTAAATAGGGCAAGCCACGCCCCCCCAGCCAGCCGATTGGCTGGCTGGGAGGCGTGGACGCTCGGGATTCCCCTGTTCTCGCGGGGGCTGAACCCAGCCCCCGCTCACGTGGGGAGGGCGTGATGCCCGCAACCCCACCTCCTGGGGCAGGCCCGGAAGTGGCTATGTGGGAGGGTGGTAGTGGAACACTGGAGAGGGGAAAAAGGAGTTGCATTCAGGGACTTAATAAGAACAGAACTGCACTTTTGCCCCAAAGACATGCGTAAATCTGCAAAGCCGTAAGTGATTTGATGCTTCAGCGCTTTAATGTAAACTGGAGAAAGGACAGGAAATGAAACAAGATTACGTTGTAATGGCAGATTAATGGCCCTGCAGGTTTTAAATTCAGCAGCCCCATTCTCTGCTTGTTTTAAGTTTCAGAACAAGGAGTAATTGTTTGAAAGAATCTCTGCAATGGGTGAGGGTGGGAGGTGGCACATAAGAGAACTCCATTATTATCTTGTACCTATGAAAGACTTGACCTTTGAGGGCAATGCTAAACAGCAGTGGGAGGAAAAAATAGATTCGTTGCACAAATCCTCACTGCTTTCTAAGTGCTATCAAACCTTGCTTGCTAGGCCAGCTGCAGGAATTTTGCTGCCTGAGGTGACGGACAAGAGGGAATCCCCTCCCAATTGCATGTACCAAAAGCAGCCAGACTGACCTTACTTCAACAATGGCAACAGGACTGTATCCTCCACATCCGAGGGCAGCAGGTTAGCTTAGCGGGTGCAGGGCAAGCTATGCATTGTACACACAGCCCTATCCTCCCAACAATGTGCTGTCACTCCCCTGCCTCCATTTCGATCTCTGTATGGGACAGCTGCATATTCTTGCACTGCAGGGGGTTGGACTAGATGATCCACAGGATCCCTTCCAACTCTAGAATTCTAAGATCTGCTGCCTGAAACAGGCAACTCACCCTACCTAACAGTAGGGCCAGTCCTGCAGCATCAATGGTCAAGGAGCTTTGCAAGCATGGAGCTGTTTCTTTATGGCTCCTTGAAGTAACGCTTGTTCATTTCTTGTGAAGCAACATAATTCAGCTGGTCAGATACGACTTAAAGTTGCTAATACAGCAGAATAAATTAGTTGTAAATCTGTTCAGCTTTAATAAATGAAAAACTGGGCTGCAGTCCTGTGGCTACTTACAAGGGAGAGTGGCCCACTGAACTTGATAGTGCTCATTTCTAACCAAACCTGTGCATGCCTGCAAAAGGATTTGAATTTTGAAGGGAATGGAAAGGGAGCCAGTATAAAGATGCATTTATTTTGCTTAGGAAATAGTCCAGCTGATTGTGTGCCAGCTGAGGAAGACTAATCCAGCTGAGGAAGTGGAACTGGGTCACTGAATTTTGCTCATAGGCTCCCTGGCCCTCTTGTGTAATTTGGTTTACCTCTGACCCCGCTGTTTGCAACTTGCCTGCAACAGACTGTAACCTATGCAGACTCATGTCATTATAGATTTGTTAAACCTTTAAGGCAGGGGTCAGCAACCTTTTTCAGCCATGGGCCGGTCCACTGTCCCTCAGACCATGTGGTGGGCTGAACTATATGTTGGGGGGAAAATGAACGAATTCCTATGCCCCACAAATAACCCAGAGATGCATTTTAAATAAAAGCACACATTCTGCTAATGTAAAAACACCAGTCAGGCCCCACAAATAACCCAGAAATGCATTTTAAATAAAAGGACACATTCTACTCATGTAAAAACATGCTGATTCCCGGACTGTCCGCGGGCTGGACTGAGAAGGCGATTGGGCCGCATCCGGCCCACGGGCCCTAGGTTGCCTACCCCTGATTTAAGGCACCACAGAAGTTTCCCTTCTTCAACATTTGAATCTCAGTGCCTGGGAATAACCCCATTGACCACCGTGTAATGACAGGCAGGAATTCAATTGATCAGGAACTTCACAAGGAGGGAGGAAAGCAGCAAGTCTTCACAGGAACACAGGAAGCTGCTTTGTACCAATCCAACCCACTGACCCATCTAGTCTGGTATGGTCTACACTGACTGGCAGCAGCTCTCCAGGGTTTCATGCAGGGGCCTCTCCCAGCCCTACCTGAAGTTGCCAGGAGTTGAAACTGGGACCTTCTGCATGGATGGGTATACATGTGGGATGCCACATCTGAATGTTTCTCCCACATCAAATAACAAAGGAACAAGGTGCGGAATAAAGGTTGTTGCAGGAATTTATGTATAGGTTGGGGGTGGGTTGCCCCTCCAGCAGATATCATGCACATGCAGCCCACTACCAAAACCAGCACAATCACTTTTGTGACTTGTCCCCACAAAACACTTCATTGCAGTTTCTTCCTATCTATTCAAAGGGCCTTTGCTGCACGATACCAAATGTAACAATTCACTGATAAAAGTATCTATGTACTGGCTCACTGGGAAAACTTCAGAAATTCATATAGACATGTGAGCTCAGCTACTCAGCAGCCCCTCTGACTGAGTGATAATTCCTGGCATCCTGATACCTGAGTGCCAGACAGGTAGCCATTCCAGAAATAACAAACCCAGATGAAGACAAAAGGGTGTGATTCACTTGGCTGTTAAACAGGGAAATGTAAAAATATTTTTTGTTACACTTGGTGGGTGTTTGGTGGAGGGCAAGGAGAACCATGGGGCAGGGTCCAGGATGCTCAGATTACTGTCACCAGACCTCCCCTTTCATGATGTAACCATGATGTATTAGTGATGGAGTTTGGGGGGGGGTGTAACATGGGGATTTTGGGACGCGGGTGGCGCTGTGGGTTAAACCACAGAGCCTAGGGCTTGCCGATCAGAAGGTTGGCAGTTCAAATCCCTGTGGTGGGGTGAGCTCCCGTTGCTCAGTCCCTGCTCCTGCCAACCTAGCAGTTCGAAAGCACATCAAAGTGCAAGTAGATAAATAGGTACCGCTCCGGCGGGAAGGTAAATGGTGTTTCTGTGCGCTGCTCTGATTCGCCAGAAGCGGCTTAGTCATGCTGGCCACATGACCTGGAAGCTGTACACCGGCTCCCTCGGCCAATAAAGCGAGATGAGCGCCACAACCCCAGAGTCAGCCACGACTGGACCTAATGGTCAGGAGTCCTTACCTAACATGGGGATTAGCAGCTAATAAAAGTTTGGGGGCTCTTTTGTTTGGGGCTTCCGTCTTGTTCCACCTTGTGGCAGGTGGGAGTCCTGTTGCGACAGTCTTCAATAAAGACCAAGCCTACTGGCTGCTGTTTTGCTCTGGTATTCCTGTCTGGTGTCCTTGTTTTTTGTCCAAGGGAGCCCTCAGATTTCTCCGTCCACACGGGGGTTCTGCTGTCCCTGTGTATCCTGCTGCCTGAGGCCCCCAACCTCACCTTGCCTCATGGTGGCCTGGCCCTGCTTGAGGAGCCCCAATTTCCTATCCCCGCCCCCAGCTTGGAGGTGCTTTTCGCCTCAGGCTCCCCCAAAAGGCGCCAAAATCCCCGCCACTCCCATCAAACAAAAACAAATCCTAGGGAGTGACTGCGCCTGCGCCGAGATGGCTCGAGCCGGCCAGACGAGCAGGCGGAGCTTCGTCCCTGCTTACCCATCCTCCCTCCACTCCCGCTTCACTCCAGTTCAGTATATGCCCCTTGTCAGGGAGCTGAAAAGCCGCGCTCTCTCTCTCGACGTTAGACGCGCATGCGCATTCCCCTTCTCCCCGCGCGCTGGTGGCTTTTGACAGTTAAAAAAGGAGCGCGAGGGCCGGGCGGGAGGGGGAGGAGGAGGAGGAGGGGGCGGGGCCTCCCGTCCTGAAGTTTTGAGGAGAGAAGGAGGGAGCTGGCGGCGACTCTCCTCGGCTCCGCGCCAGGCGAGGCTGGGGTTTGGGTCCCGGCCAGCCTTCCCCCGGGCAGAGTCTGCCGTCTCCCTTCTCTCCCTGCTGCGTCCCCTCAGTGCGCTCGTCGGAGCTCTGAGAGGCGCCCGCGCCGGTAAGGATGGCGGGTGGGCGCTTCTCCCTTCGGAAAGAGGGACGGGTGTGAGGGAGGGGAGGGTGAGGCAAGTCACTTCCAGAAGCCAGGGAGGCTGGTGCAGCCCCTGTCTCCGGGGGGGGGGGTAAAATAATGGTGCGATTAGCTCTGGGCTTAACGGTCTCACAGGAACCTCCCCCCCCTCAATTTATATGGCTGCTCGGACTTCCAATGGGGTCGGGGCTGGGGGGGGGCTCCTCCTGAAGTTTCTGCTGGTTGGGGGGTGGGGGCTGTGGACCGTGTGGACTTCTGCTTCAGATCCCTACCCCGAGGGTAACTATTGGGGGAAATTCGTGGAAGACCCCCCCCCCCCGCTTCTCTCTCCAGGGGGAGAAGGAGGTGGGGGGGGGACACACACACGACTTCGTTTATTGCCATTGCCAGCAAGGCAGATGCCTCACACGCGTTTTACTCAAATTGCCGCAGAAGAACGTTTTGCATCCTCAGTGTTTACATCCCCCCCCCCCGCAGAAAAGGATAACGGCAACAACACTTCGCGCATCCGATTCAGTCCGCGAAAATCTTTATGCCACGTTTAGTGCTTTTAAGGCGCCCCCCCCCCAAGACGCTCTTTTTGGTTCTGTTGTAATTCTCGGTTCGCTTATCTGGGAGAGCGAGCCCTTTATGGGACATTGTGAAATTTACTTCCAAGTAAAAGTGCACAGCACTTCGGTTGTTCCCTTCCGATTTTAGGGAAGCAGCTCTGTTCCAGCAAGAGTAGTTCTATGCTGGTGGTTTTACAGCATCTCCTTCGTTTCAAAGCGTGCTTGTTAAATTTAAAGTTGCCCCTCGTTTCAGAGTTTGTGTTTGTGCAAGCACACACTTTGGTTGAGCTGGATATACCACATACAATACATACCTTTTCTGGGGGCGGGGGAGGGGCGAAAAAAACAACTATTCTTCCCATGAATACTTAATCTCTGTCGCTCCAAAGGGCAAGACCAGAACCAAGGTGTGGAAAGTTCAAGAAAGCAGGTTGTGGCTAAACATTAGAAGAAACTTCCTAACAATAAGAGCTATTCAACACTGGAAAAGACTGCCTTCCTTCACTAGATGTATTTGAGCACACCCATCTGTCAGGGATGCTATTTCTGCATACTGCGCTGCAGTTCCTATACTAAGCATCGGGTTGGATTAGATGACCTCCACAGTCCTTTCTAACTCTATTAATTCCATTTTCTCCATAGCTGTTGGATGCTGCTTTTATTTCAAGCCTTTCTTTGCTGTTTGACATTACAAGTCACCCCATCCTCTGCCCCCCTCACTAACTGGACTGGAAGAACTGCCATCGCTTTTTCCTGTTCTTGCAGTGGCTAGAAGTATTTATATCCTTATCATTACCCACCAAAGGTCCGTTCTTAACCTGAAACTGTTCTTAACCTGAAGCACCACTTTATCTAATGGTGACTCCCGCTGCTGCCGCGCCGCCGGAGCACAATTTCTCTTCTCATCCTGAAGCAAAGTTCTTAACCTGAAGCACTATTTCTGGGTTAGCGGAGTCTGTAACCTGAAGCGTATGTAACCCAAGGTACCACTGTATAGGTTATTTTACCTAGTGTTGTCCTGACAACTAAATAGTTTAAAGAATGTCAAAATGATGGCTCCCCACTCCAGTGCTTTGATCCAGAGGTGAATAGGAGACTATAATCTGTGTTTGTGATTGTGAGTATTTATTTATCTGCTATAAGCATGCTTTGCAAGCAAGGAAAAAATTAGCCCTGCACTATTCCAGGTGCCTGATTAGGGTGAAATGGCAGTGGCTAAAATGTGTTGGATGACTTTGAGAGTGAAATTGTAGGGATGCACTTCATTTGGAGGGTTATGGTTATTTAAAAGAGCAATGATATAGAAAGTTTGTCCTTTTTCTACACAGTAGAAATACTTGCATTCCAAACACTGCAGCTCTGCAGTGAGTGCTTTTTACCTTTAATAACTTATTTGGGAAAGGTTTGCAAATAGCAATCTTCAAGTATTAAATCTGAGGGGTCACTTTCTTTCTCAAAATCCAAAGATTCAGCCTGTCTTTTCCTTCAGGGCCAAACACTGGCTTTCTTTTAGGCTTCCTTTCTCTGTTATAGGCAATTGTAGTTGCTGTACTTAGTGTGCTGAACCTGCTACTTTGAAAAGTGTAAAAATGTTTGAAGTTGCCATGTGAATACATTGATACAAAAGTACCAGAATTGCTTTGTCCCTAAAGATTTGTAGCCATGTTATCCTGTTGCAGCACAGCTGAAAATTTTAAGGTGCCACAAAAATTTTTTTTCTCCCTGATGGGTGGCTAATGATTTGAGAATGGTGCAAGTTCCTTATCTTGTATTTTCTCCTTTGTTTTCCTTTAACTAGATGAAGCAAGTGAACAGATGTATTTTGTTTTGGTAGTGGATTATTATTTTTCTCTCGGGGTGGGAGGTGGGGAGTGGGAACAAATAGGGATGGAAAGTGGGATGAAATATATTGGGAAATTAATATTGGAAACAAATGGTCTTTTGGGAGAATCAAAAGGTGAAATGTTTTGGGAGAAGGCTAATTGGCAAAGAAATTGTTTTGGCAACCTGGCTTGTGCTTCAGATTCCAACTTTGCTCTGCTCACAGTGTGTTGTCTTGGGCAAGCCACTTGATTTTATCTAGTTCTGTACTCCAGTTTCCAGTAGTGGCTCATCAGATATCTCTGGGAAACTTATAAACATGACATGAGGGCAGCATCCACAACTGGTATTCAGAGGTATACGATGTACATGGAAAATAAGGGTGGAGCAGAATTAAGGGAAAGCATTGTGGGAGTGGCTTGCTAGCATATATGGGACATATAACAGTCCCAATTTTGGAGGTAATAGCTACCCCTGGTTGTGGGATAACACTGCATTCTTTGACTTTTTGCTAGGTGCTAGCTCAGGAAAATGTGTTTTCTCTGTTTCAGCATTTTTGAAAGTGAAACAGTGTGCCTGAGTGCTTGTGTGTGTGTTGGCATGCTTCTGTTTGAGTTATTGTATATATTAAACTTTGTACAGTAATAACATCTAATTCGTATAGCAATCCATAAACACATTTTATAAGATGGAAGACATGTTAAGAATATGTAGAGCAATTCTCCACCCAAGTTGGGATCAACCATATACAAACTTGTCTACATGTTAGCCAGTATATTATAGGTTGTCCACAACTGGCACAAGAGTTAAGTGTCTTTAACTAGGGGCATGCCTGATGAAACAGAGGTTCAGGTAGGGCAGCTAGTTGCCATTAGCTAACCTGCTTTAAAATGATTAGCACAATCTTCCATCAAAAGAGGCAGAAGGGAGGTTAGAGGTAATATTCCAAAAGTGCAGGGGTGTTTGATGCCACGATAGCTAGTAACAAATAAATAATTTTATCTTGTTTTACAGACAAGACTCAGGCCAAGAAACTTGCCTAATTGGAGTTTGGCAGGTGTTTGAACTCTGTGCTTCAAATCCAGATTTGTTCACCACTAGTCTGTGCTGAGTTTATTACATCCTATTCTTACAGTCACCATTTAGGTTTGTTATGTATTGTTGTACAGAAAACTTTGCAAAACAGTGCCAATATAGTCAACCTCAGAGCAAACAACTTTGTGGTAACATTAGTTTCTGATTGCCATGCTACAAATCTTGCGTTTAAATTTTCAGCTGGCGCAGAGCCCCAGAGCTTGCTGTGGTCAACAGGAGTGGAAAATTTTGTCTGAAAAGCCTTCACAGTGGCAGGAGGGAGCATTGGGCTGAACAAAATGCTAAGAAATGGAAAGGTTTTGGAACATCAGCTTTCCACCAACACACTTGAGGGTAGTGGATCACGTGGCTAGGTTTTTTTAAATACTTGTTCCTTAATTACAAAATTATTAATTTCTGTTCAGCTGCTTTAGAAAGGATAGGTTTTACGGGAGGCTTACTTGTGTTAGTGGCTGTGATTGAAGTTGTCAGCATTTTCTGTTGCCAACCAGTATTCATGGTGGTTAAAATACAGTCAGAAGGGCTGGGAAGAATGACTGTACTAAATTGCTTGCTGACCAGCATTCCTACTTAGTTGCCAGTTAGCTGTTTTTCAAAGCTAGCTTTAGTACTGGGCTTATACAAACTACTGGTGATTATCCTTATTCCCCCTTTTTCATTGTTGGTAGGAGCCTTGCCTTCAGCCTATCTGTGGTGAATAAAAGGTCTTGCCAACCCACCATATCTTGGAAGTATACTTTACTAACCAATACTTTGTGTGCAAGGCTGTATGGAGGAGCCAAGAAGTGTTCAGAGATTAACTCTTCCAGTTTCTACCAATATGATTTGCACAAAGGTAGAATTTCCTCATATCAATTTCCTCATATCATTGACACTAAATTGCTATCAACTGATAGCCATCTCAGCTACTCTGATTTAAACTCACTTTAGATTTCAGACAAGCTGACAGCCAAGCTCCTTTATTGTGAAAGGCAGTTGCATTCCAATCATTCTTATTTTTTTGGTCCTATTAGCCAGGGTTGTCTGAACTTTGTACTAAATAAATCAATCACAAGTCTATACAAAGGTAACCCGAACTGTGCACCAAGAAAAATGGAATTATGTTACACTGTTACACAAAGCAAGCTGATGTGCCTATATATTTTAACTTTTGTATACTATGTTCTGCTTCTGAGAATCGTGGGAAGGGGTTGGAAAGCCTTTGGCAAAACTAGTTGCGAATTCCAGTTCCTATTCCAATAGGAAAAGCCTACTTTAAATTGTGCCCCGCCTCCAGTTGTTCGTTCTTTGTGGGAAAGCATAATTATTTTCAGTTTATTTTACAAATTCATAAACTGCTTCACAGCCTGAGGCCATCAAAGTCATGTACAACAGGATATTCAGTATTCTACCTACACAACAAATAACAGCTTCAAGGAGGATGCTTTCTGTATGTGTGAGAAATGATTACCGGTAATCTACCCACCCTGGACCCTTTCTGAATTGGTGGTTTCTATGGCTGCAACTTTAAAGAAAAGTGGGTGATCTAACTTGCCTGCATTGCATCTTGTTTGGTCTCTGTGATGCTGAATCCTGTGCCCATTTTTAATAATAATAATAATAATAATAATAATACACACCTGACTCTGCTGCCCCAGCCACTTTATGTAGTATACACAAAGAGACATAAGTTTCCATTGATTCTGTATACTTGTGGATTTTCCCTTATACTCAGATGAAACACTCCTTTATCTGAAAAATCATGATGCTGTTAAACTTTTTTTTAAAGCCGCCTAAACTAGACGGCATACAGTATTTGTGAATCTTGAAATGTTTATAACTTGAGGGGTACAAAGTGTGTGAGATGTTTGACCATGATTTTTATTTCACAAAACTTCTAGAAGTGTTTTTCTGCTTTACGTGTTTTGATGGAAAAGAGAGTATTACTCTTTGGTATAAATAGTTGTGGTTAGGGAAGAGGATAAAAATAGCTCATCAGCCATGGTGAGGCATAGCCAGAAGTTGAACTTAAGCAATATTTGGAATGTAAATCAAACTAGCAGGAAATTCCAAGTTAAGACTGGCATTTTGTCCTTACTTAACACACACATATGAACTTCCTGACTTTTCTCGGTTAATAACTCGAGACAGTTGCATTACTTTGAGGTTTTTAAGCAGTTCAAACCTAGCAGATTGGTTTTAAAGGGATGATAGCACTTTTGCATGTAGAAGGAACAGGGTTCAGTCCTAAGGATCATCCAGTTTGGATCTTTGTCAGAAACCCTAAAGGAACAGTGTAGGGAGGAATATTAAAGTGTTGTACAGCAGAAATTGTAGGATTGTTGTCTTGATACTCTGTCCTGCTTTAAAAGCAATAAAGTGATAAATTCTTCTCTCTAACTGTTCAGATTGGGAACATGATGCAAACGGGAGTGATCACACCATACAAACACCTGATAAATTTAGCTTTGTGTGTTTTTGGATTATAATCTGCATGCATATTAGTGCTTTACACATACATGGGAGAGTCAGTGATATCTTTCTGCTGCATTTACATAGGTCAACACTTCCGAGAAACTTCGGATTTATGCATGCATCTTTTTGTTTCCTTGAAACATTTTAACTGTCATGTTCAGTGCTTACTATTCAAAGGGTATAATCTTCAAATCTGCATAGGGAAGAGCTGCTTGAATTCAAACTTGATGTTCACTCAAGCTGCCTGTGTGCATGCAGATCTCCCCCCCCCGCTGCATTTTACTCAGGTGTACCAGGTCTTGTTTCAGTGCTTTATGCTCTGAATCATAAAGGTAAAGGGACCCCTGACCATTACCTGACCATTGCGGAACTCATCTCGCTTTACTGGCCGAGGGAGCCGGCGTACAGCTTCCGGGTCATGTGGCCAGCATGACTAAGCTGCTTCTGGCGAACCAGAGCAGCGCACGGAAACGCCATTTACCTTCCCGCCGGAGCGGTACCTATTTATCTACTTGCACTTTGATGTGCTTTCGAACTGCTAGGTTGGCAGGAGTAGGGACCAAGCAACGGGAGCTCACCCCGCCGCGGGGATTCGAACTGCCAACCTTCTGATCGGCAAGCCCTAGGCTCTGTGGTTTAGACCACATCGCCACCAGCGTCCCTTGCTCTGAATCATATTGGCGATTAAAGATGAGCTTGAGCCCACATGCCTAGCAGCTAGCTCTGAGACCAGACCAGACCAGACCAGATTCGATTTGATTTATTATATTTCTATGCCACTTTTCATTCAAATGAATTGAAAAGTGGCTTAGTAACAATAACATAAGAGAACATCCCAAATAAATAATATAAAATAATGAAATCGTCTATAAAACACCATTAACAAAACAACTGAAAAAAAGATAAACAGCACAATTACAATAAAAGTCATAGAATTCATAAATTACTACAGCATTCATAATTTATATAACAATATTAACAACATTAACAAAATAGCAGCCAAAAAGTAAATTAAGCACAGTTGAATTCATATACACACACTCCCCATCCCCATGACTCATAATCTTCTATTTTATTCAGTTCATTAAAATACACATACACATAATGCCCATGGCAGCAGCTCCATTCTGAAGGTTCCTAGGGCTGGAGGGTGAGACAAGGCAGATGGGAAAAGCTATTGCCTGATGGCCAGTAGGGCTGAACAATACACTGATAAATTGTTCAATACTGGTTTCTAGACCACATCATGATAACCATTTAAAAACAACCTGGCAATACATCGTGAATCACACCATGTGTGTGTCTGTGCAACATGCCTTTGCCTGGAAGCAGCTGGCAGAAAGCACAGTTTCATGAAGCCACTGCTGATGCTGAATCGCTGACTTCCCTCCCAGATGCCACAAAGTAAAAATAAGACCCATCACATTGCCCTGTGTCATTCAGCCTCTTTCCTCCCTTGCTCTCTTCTCTCTCTGTGTGTGCGTGCCTGACTTACTGCATGTCCAATCTCCATGCTCCTTTGCCCAGCCACAAGCCCAATCTTCATGCTCCCCACCTGCCTGATCTCCATGTTTCTTTGCCCACGGACACGCCTCATCTCCATGCTTCTTTGCACACTGGCACACCTGATCTCCATGCTCCCTTGTCCAGCCGCAAATTGTGCTTTAATATTTAATTATTCTGTGGCAGGCTTGTTCGTGATAAAGAGCTCAGGAATTGGAAGAATTAGAAGCTGCAGCTGTGCTTGTGTTTCTTTAAGACCAGCTCCATTTTTCTCCAGAGCTGTTAACTTCATGGTGAAGCAGAATGCCATTCTAATGCAGCAAGTGAAGAGAAAGCTGTTCATGACTCTTGTGGAACTTAACATTTTTCATGAAATCAGAAGGAACAAAAACTGATACATTTAATTAATATGACAGAGCATGTGTGCAAAACCTTAACATCAGAAAATTAATGCAGGGTTCTGCTTTGATCTGTATTAGTACATCTGCTGTCCATAATACCTAAAGTGCAAACATGTGCAAGATTATTTTTCAGAAGGGCAACAGGAAATGGCTTTTGTAAAACAGGGGAAAAAATCACACATATATTAACAGACAAATAATAGAGGGTTTTTTGTTGTTGTTTTTTTTGAGTAGGGTGGGTTAGACTGTATGCCTGGCCCACTTCTATTCTTGGAATAGCCAAGCTAACTTCCAGATGAGGTGATGGGCTGTTAAGAGGAAGAAAGTGCCTCAGATGATCCCCTTCATCTCTTCTTCCTGCTGTCCCTGGGCCAGTCCATTTCACCCTCTGTCCTAAACCGCAAATCAGAGTCCTGCCACAAGTTTTTATCTGGGGACACTTTCTTCAGGATCACCTGGCCCAGTCTCCTTAAGTTGGTGGTCAAGAATTCCCCTATCTGCTTACTTTCAACATCTCTCAAACGCTTCATGGACCCAAACAAAGGCAGTTAAGCCTCCCAGTGGCTCTTGCCACCCCCCCCCAATCCCACAGCACCCTGGGTGATGCTGGCAAAGTAATAAGTGATAACTGTAATTCTGTTGACAGGCATCGCAATAGACACCACAGAGAAGGATTTCATTTGGAAAAAGTCTCTATCTTATTGTGTTTATTGGTTGGAGCATTAAATACTTGGCAACTCGCAAAAACTAGAATTCCAAAAAGGAATTCAAACCATTTGTTCTTGAGCATTACACTAAAATAATTGGGTCTACACTATATTGTATATAATCCTGAAGCCCTTTACTAAACAAATGTTTTATATTACCTCCATGCTGCTTTAGTATATTGCATTTTGTAAAAATAAATAAAAATGTTTTGGGAATAATTGCCTTTATAACCCTGATGAAGAGGGACCAAATTAAGTGTTGTCTCAAGACTGCGTTAGCAGAGGAAACAGAATTGTAATTACGAATGAGTTCCTGATTGAAGCATATGATTAAGAAATTAAGGCTACTTGGGCTTTTCATATAATATCAGTGTGGGTGTATGCACGCACTTACCAGTAAATTCAGATTGTGCAATGAAAGTTCATTTGGCAGTCTTGCAAAACAAATCTATTCCCCTGCCATGGCCTTTTTGTGATAAGGAAAATGCACTGAAAAGTGTGTGATAAAGATTTCTTGACTCAGCATCGTCTAACCTCCCCACAAATAAATTGGAATGAATGCTCAGTGAATAGCTGTCATTGTCTAAGCTCTCTGCAAACTTTATGCAAACAATACAATAATGAATCCTCTACTGTATAAGCAAGCTGATTGGAAGTGTCCGCAGACACTAGGATACAAATATCGAACACAAATATGCTTTCTTTGTGTGTCTATCAAAATAGGCCCTTGCCTTGTATCCTTTGCTTTTTGTAGCTACTGATAATACAAGCTTGTCAATATTGGCAATCTGGGGTAGAGAAAATGCCTTTCTTTTTTTGTCCCTACCTTGCATTATTGTAAATTACTGCAAATGAAGTAGAAATATATTTCATATCCATATTTGTATAAGGTGAGTCCCCACAATTTATTTGGCTATTCAGAATTGGTCTCTCCCTTTTGGATTTGTCATCTTTGCCATTCACTAGGCTCCAAGGTATAAGATGTCTAGGGCTGATGAAAATATCTATTATGCTCATTTAAAACCAGTTTCACTATTCTAGCCAATCACAATTTCAAGGATTCCTTGAAGGCTTGAAACTGGTCTAAGTTTGTCATGGGGATATGTTCTTAGAAAGATAGTATGCATTTTCTTACACATTCCATTTTCTCTTTTTAAACAGATGATTTGCAAGTGAGACTTCAGCTGTGTATCTCCAACTTGTTCCAACAAAATGTTTACAACAAATCCTGCAAATTGGGTTACATTTGAAGATGAACCCCTATTCCATTCTCCTCAGAAAGCAGGGGGAAGTCATAGTGCCTGCAAAGCAAACGGGCTTAAACTCAATCTGCCTAAAATGCCTGATTCCTTGAGCCAATCTCCATCTTCCAGCAATACTCCTCTCTCCTCTCCTGTAGTTGACTATTACTTTAGCCCTGGACCTCCTAGCAATTCTCCACTATGTACACCCACTAAAGAATATTCTGTCAGCCCTTTATTTTCAAAATCTGGAATTCAGCACCTTTATCCTATTCCAGAGTTGTCACCCAACATTAATATTCTGCCAGTGGGTGGGACATTGTCTCAAAAACTGACTGGTACCTCTCAGGCTCAGCATCACTCAGAATGTTCAGTCTCAGAGCCATTAGATGGTGCAAATGCCACTCATCAGGAAAGCGCAAAGAAATCAGAAGATTCCCTGGAATCACAAACATTCTTCCAATACATTCAGAATGACTGTGCTTTTGCTAGTCCATTTTGGTCAGAAGATTCACCAGATACATCCATCAATGTGCACAAAAGGGATGCAAACCTTGAAAAGGATAGTGGCTCTTCCAGTGAAAAGGACAGGTTCCCTGATCAGAAAAGTCTCAATCAGGGATCATTCCACTATATTTGTGAGAGGCTTGAGCACTTGCAAACTGATACTTCAGATAATGAAAGGACTCTGACAGCCATGCCATACATGTATACAGGAGATGGTTTTTCTTCGTTTCTTCCACACAGCCTCTTCAGCAGCCAAAGAAAAGATGGCTGGCCTTTCATGTTGAGGATTCCTGAAAAGAAGAATATGATGTCATCAAGGCAGTGGGGGCCTATATACCTTAAGGTCTTACCTGGAGGAATCCTACAAATGTATTATGAAAAGGGCCTTGAGAAACCTTTCAAAGAATTTCAGCTGCAGCCATTTTGTAAACTTTCAGAACCCAAGCTAGAGAACTGCAGTATCTCTGGGAAAATCCATACTGTGAAAATTGAGCATGTGTCTTATGTGGAGAGAAAGAAGTATCATCCCAAAGCTGAAGTGGTTCATGAACCAGAGATAGAACAGATGCTAAAGCTGGGAACGACTGATTACAATGACTTCACTGACTTCCTGGTGATAGTGGAGGAAGAGTTAATGAAGCTTCCTGTTATTTCAAAACCAAAAAAACACTATGAAGAACAGGAAATGATCCTGGAGATAGTGGACAACTTTACAGGGAGGATCACTAAAGCAGAAGGGAAGCTAGTTGAAAGTGCTGTCATCACCCATATTTATTGCTTGAGTTTTGTGAATGGAAACTCTGAGTGCTTTTTGACGCTGAATGATCTGGAGCTTCAGAGGAAAGATGAGCAATACTTTGAAAAGGATGCGAAAAAATGGATTGAAATCATTGACTATCACTTCCATCAATGTGTGAAAAAACAAGAATTTGAGCAGTCAAGGATAATTAAATTTACACCTACAGAAGGCTGTAGGTTAGAACTGATGCGTTTCAGGACATGGTATAATGGAGCTGATCTTCCATTTTCTGTCAAGGCCATGGTGGTAGTACAAGGAGCTTATGTTGAACTGCAAGCTTTCATAAACATGTCCTCTTCTGCTCTGACTTCAGTGCATTCAAATTCCATGAAACCCTGTGAAAGTATTATGGTACACTTTCCTATTCCCTCACAGTGGATTAAAACTCTTTGGACCATGAACCTCCAAAGACAGAAGTCTCTGAAAGCAAAAATGAACAGAAGAACATGCCTTGGCTCTTTAACTGAGATTGAATCTGATCCTGTAATACAGGTCTCAATTGGAACAGCCAAATATGAAAGTGCCTATAGAGCTATTGTGTGGAAGATTGACAGACTTCCAGATAAAAACTCAAGTAAATATTTTTTTATATAAAGATTTTTTTCTAAAAATGGTATAAAGCTGTGCTGAAAGGGAATTGCATTTTCTCAGAGTGGGTTAACAATATGACGACTCCAGAGATTTTACTGGCCAATTGATTAAAATGTATGGCATGAAGGCTGCAGATGGTGAATTGTGTGTGCTATTGAGCTGGGAAAAAGAAAGACACTCTTGATATAGCACACATTCCTGTGCTTTAGAAATCTGAATATTTTAACCACACCAACCTAACAAAGCAGCTCTGATAGATGCTTGATTCAAGCCAAGTAATAATTAGGCCTGCTTTTCACATTCCGTTTAAGAAGTCTTGGCACCTTCATATTTGAAAGTGTTTATTTTGTTTCATTCATATTCTGGGATTTTGCTTTATTAGATCCAGGAATCAAACTCCATCTCCCTAGGTGGCTACAATTAACTTCTGTAAATTCACTGCATGTACTACAATGTATATTGATATTGGAAAAGGAAGTGTGTAGGGGTAAGAATTTATAAATTGTTCTGGAACTGGTGTCTTTCCATCTTGGACATCCATATAAATTTGATATCACCTTTCCAGGTATGAAGTGCATCTCTGCATCTTCAAAAGTATGCAAAAAGTTAAAAAAAAATAAAATATCATGTTAGATTGCAGGAAGAAATTCTGTTGTCCTTGGAAATGGCAATGCATAGAGGCCATTCTACGACTGATCTTTTGCATTACTTTGAAGGTGATATAAGAATATAATTTACTTATTGGCCACAGACAACAAATTTAAAAAGTTACAGAATGTAAAATATGTATGATCATTAAAAGCAAAAATAAAAAGTAATAATAGCTTGTCTAATTGCTGTTTTTAGAAATATTGCAACTTACTGAGAAATTTAAAAATAGAGACCTCCATAAAATGATAAGAAGGAGGTACACATGGAAACATACAACAGCCTTTTTTACTTTCATGTTGCATACTCATTTGTGTGTACCACACACTAAAAATAGCATATGTTTAAAAAAATGTATTCTGTGAGCTGTTGCATTATGTTTGCTAAGTAAAAGCAGAATCATGCAGCATAGTTATCGGAAAGAGCCAAAGTTCAACACATGGCAGTGAAACCCCACACCTCATTTTGTAGTATGAATTCTTCCAGTACAGTGGTACCTTGGTTGTCAAACTTAATCTGTTGCAGGAGTCCATTCGACTCCCGGAACCATTCAGAAACCAAGGCCCGGCTTCTGATTGGCTGCAGGAGCTTCCTGCACTCAATCGGAAGCTGTGCAAGCTGCGTCGGACGTTCGACTTCCGAAAAATGTTCGCAAACCAGAACACTCATTTCTGGGTTTGTGGTGTTCGGGAGCTGATTTGTTCAGAAGCCAAGTTGTTTGACAACCAAGGTACCACTGTAAATGAATTGGAATAATTAGTTCTGTTGGCATCTCTTATTCTTCCATGTTGTTCCTTTAGAAAGCTCAGACCAGAGACAAACACTGCTTAAGTATGCCTAATCAGTGTTTGTCTCTGGTCTGAGCTTTCTAAAGGAACAACATGCAAAATAGAACTTTTTGTGGCATTTCTGGTTCTGAATTTTGGAAATATGTGGTCTGGAGTGCAGATTGTAAAGAATATTTTTCACTCTATCTACTGACATCGCCTCTATCAACCAAAAGAGAGCAGTATTGTAACAGTTAGATGACTGTACTGCCAGCCTTTTCTTGAGATTCTTGAGTTCTGTTAAGTCCATTGCAGCTGACATACTAGATCTACTTTGGAAAGAAATATCCTCTAGTGCTATGCTGGTGGACTAGCTAATGCATTCAGTCCATGTTAGTGCTGGAATATCCACAGTGACAAGAGACGGCCTCCAGTTACACTTCTGTTCTACTAATATTTCATTATATAAATATCTAGTGTAGCACAAGCACTCAAGCTTTTTATCATGGCCAAGTATGCTATAACCTTTCCCCCAGTGACAGGGGAAGTGATCTAATATAATGCAGGATATAATCCTATATATGCCTGCTCAGCAGTAAATTCTGTATTTCAGTCTTAGTTGAAATTGAAGGTGTGGAGCAGTTTGAGATTATACTGTATATGGTCCTGTTGGTTTGTGTTTTCAACATACAAAAATAACTTTTAAAATGATGTAGCTTTAGTAATAATTTAAAATACTCTTCTATAATTATGATTTAAAAAATACTGCTATGAAGGCCTGTTCATATGACAGTCAGGTCCTTGGCTATGGGAAAAGCCTGCATAGAATGGCTCCATTTGGTTGCCAGCCAGCCAGTCATTGAGAGTCATTAGGGAGTTGGCTGTCACATTCTTCAGTAACATAATAATAGAGTGCAGCCCTATATGTTGTATATTGCAGTAGGCAAGCCTTTCAGGGTATAAAGGTATAAATAATAGTAACTTGAGTTTGCATCAAAATAAAGGAACTGAAACCGTCAGGTGAAAGGTACATTGGCTATTGTAACAATCTGATTTCAGGAGTACACCGGGGTATATGATTTAAACCCACTTTGTATGTGGTGGCACACACATACATACATACTTGCTAGCTCTCTGGAGGAAAGAAACATTATGCATGAAGTATCAGACACTTAGTGTCCTTTGGTGATTAGGATGATTCATCTCTTCCAGGAATGTATGTAGGTATATTTGTGCATTTTAAAAATGCTGGGGATGAGACAGATGAAAATATCATAACTTTAAAACAACTCTTTAACTAATACAAGGACTAAGTTTCCCTTTGTCACTGTAGGGGGTAGATTTTAAAACTGCATAAGAGCAAAGTTAAGTGAAAGTGTTACTTGGAAGAGTTGCTAGCGATAGATAAATAATGGATTTCCCCTGCACTGGAAAAGATTTTAAATTTGAAACAATTGTAATCAATTATGAAAGTGAAGTCTGCTTATTGTTTAATCTAAAGGTCAAACATAATGCCCAACGAGGGAAATAAGATAAGGCCTTGCATGTTTCCAGACTACAGTATAGCATAGATAGCAAGACATTTGCAATTTCTGAGAGGCCACAGCCAACATTGCTATGCTGTTGTCGTGTCATAGCCCTCTTCAAATGTTTAGCTTACACAATTAATGTATGTGTTTATGGAGACATGGAGTCTTTTAGCATCTTCCTATGTGACACATTTTCCCCAATTTGACAAAAGGAAAATTGAGTCTGCAAGCAAGGTCTTCAAGTCCCTGGGTTCAGTCTGGAATCTATAGTAATGAAAATGAGTGAGATCCAATGTTGTGTGAATGGGTGTTCATCCAGAATGCATAAAGTTTCCACAACCAAAACAAATACAGCTTTGCATGAGGAAAAGAATGACAGCTTGCTAATAGCTTTCTAAAGCAAGGTCATTGTTGATAGGATGTAAATATGGCAGAAATGTGACTTTAACTCAAAACTATGAGAGAAATGTGACTTCAAATCCAAATTGAAACAATGATCCCTTAACCACAATCTTTCTCAATCATTTTTAAATAAAATCACATGGGGTCTAGTTCCTAGATTATTTTCACATTGGATTTTCCAATAACTGCTGGTAATATGTCTGCCTTGTTCCAGGAAATGCGTTCTTGGCAGCATGGCCTCACTGCTCTTCTTTTCAGGTTTATAGTAAATTGTTAAAGGATTTGATATAAAAGAGAACATAAGCAAACAAAATTAAGAATAAAAATCCCACCCGTGGTCTAATACATGCTGTGAGTGGTCAATGTGGAATGCCAAATTGAGCTCTTGTTTATTTTATGGGATTTCTAGTTGGTTGGTTTCCATATCAGTTATGATTATTAGGTAACAATTCATGGAACTCCAACGGTTGCCTGAACAGTTGGACACTCTGCTTACATAACATTACCTGGCATTTATAGGGACAATTTCCTAAATGTTATTTCCCTATATTCCCCTCCTTTTTATTGTGCTGTTGCATTTCCCTCCTATTGCAAATGAAAAGATCTGAGGCTGGGAGAGTGTCTTTGAAGTGGGAACAGTGAACTACTGTATAAAGTAGTAATAAGATTGTGAAGTGAAAAATAGGGCTGTTGCCTCCTTAAAGTTTTAGTTGATTGACCCTATGCATTACAGTACTAGAATAATTAAGTATGCATACATTAGCATTTTGAGTAAGAAACATTTTTCTGCATACTTTTTGTTTTTTTAGATGGCATATGTATGAATTTCAACATTTTAAGTCAGTCCCTACTGTGTAAGAGAGGAGAGGGAATACTACTTCTAAGTTGGCGCCTGCCTCCTGCTGTTTTTGTATTAGAAATCTTTCCTTTTCTGCCTGATTAGAAAAGATGCCCTGATTACTTGGCTAAATGTACATTCCTAATCAAGTCCTGGATAAATATAAATAGTGTTTAAAAATTGGGTGAAACATTGTATGCAGATGCCTCCATTAAAACCTCCTTGGGTGATGTTTGTGGGAGAGGATGCAGAGACAGGAAGAGAGAGGCTAACTCCTCCCCACACTTGCCACAAGACTCTTATGCTAGATTGCTTCTACTTTGAAGCTGCTTTTTATTTCAAAAAGGATCAGTTTAGGTTGAAGTACACATGTTTGTGTGTACTATATCCTTCACTGAAGATAAAATTCCCAGTTTACTTCCTCTTTCTGATACCCAAGACATACTTCACTGCATATTTTAACATATCCATTATGGAATTTTAATGATTATCCATATAATTAAGATGCATTCTAAAGTAAATTCCATCAGATTCAGTTGAATCATAAGCATCTTCACAGAATCTCTGCTAGAGGCTTATTGTAGAAGCACCTGTTGTTTGATGATGTCAAATCCTGTATCATTAATTTTAAGCCTCAGATCCTCAGGCATCCTGGCCAACGTTTTCATACATTGGCAAAGCTTTGTGATGACTAAAACCTCTTGGTGGTTTAAACAGCTCTCAGTGAAGTTTTTTGGGTTGCTCTTAGATGAACAAAGTTTGCACATTAATGGAGTACAATAAGCCCGCAGCTTATGCGCATTTAACTTGCGCAAATTAAGATTTACGCACTTGGCAGAGGGAAAAAAAGTGGAAAGAGGGCGGGTGTCCAGGGAAAAAAGATTTTGGCAATCCCACCCACCATTGAACCCAATATGTTTTGACGTGATTTTGGCTTTAGGCGTGATTTCCAGAACATAACCCTCACATAAGTTGCGGACTTAGTGTAATTGCCTTAATTCTTTTCTTGCTTGCTTCTGCAGGGAGCTTTTTGCTATAGAGGAATTCACAAAATAAATAGAATCTGTGTGATTTAATAACTGTAGTTTACTAAATAGTTGCCACTGAGAAAGGTGATGCCTTAAGGTTGTAGCCAATGCTAGTCATACTCAGAGTAGACCCATTCAAATTAATATCTTTGGCTAAATTAGCTTCCTTAATTTAAATGGGTCTATGCAACCTATAAAGTATAACTGTTCTGTGCCTGAACCGGAGTTTCTGTTTCTTTATCAACCATATTGACAAGGAATATTGACAACCATATTGTTAAACCATATTGGTACATTGGTGTACAAGTGACTACGCTCCGACAGTAACTTGCAGATGGGAAAATTAAGGGGCAAAAGCCCATCTGGACTATGTGTTAGAATGAAGGTGTTTGGTGGGGATTACTGCTGATGGAGTATACTTGAAATGGTGAATAATCTCATGTAATATAGAGCTGTTTGTGATGGTGAATTATAAAAGTGTTTCTAGCCTTCCAAGATACAAAGAGCAGCTTTGAATGGGAGCAAATGCTCCTTTTTTAAAAAACCAGGCATTGATGGTGCTTGTGACCTGCTGAGCTACTTTCCTCTTTCATTGGGTTGCTCTACTTAATCACAGCTTAGCAAAAACCTCCAGTAACTTGATTGTTCTCTCAGCTACTTGTCTTGGCTAAAATTCCTGTGACATTCCCTCCATCCTTTTCTCAAGGTCCAGATCATCCGCACAGTTTGTCTTACAAGCTAGAACTTGGATCGGATCAGGAAATCCCCTCTGACTGGTATCCCTTTGCCACAGTGCAGTTTGTTGTGCCTGATGCATGCGCTTCCGGAACTGAAGTTAAATCATTGGGCATCGAGAGTGACATCCAACCCCAGAAACATGTGATACGTAAAGCATGTTACAACTGCCAGGTAATCTTCTTGTCCTCTTGTTTTGTTTTTTAGCCTGATGGAGCATCAAGGCAACAAAGCAAGTCAGTCAGCTATGCAAGGAAAAGCTTGGTATCACCCAGTTATTTATTAAAGCATCAGCTAAAATGGTCACGAAGGCACCATAAAGGCATTCTGGGCCACAAGCTAACTGTCAGTAGGGTATATCTTATAAAAAGCTACAGCTCAAGAACTGAATCCTAGAGACGCTAAGCCTGTAGGAACTTAAGTTTTCAGTTCTACTGTAGCATGGCAGCTTTGAGGGACTGCAGTAAAATGCAAAGATAAACCTATTTTGGGACAGGGGGGTAAGGAAGCTGAAATATAGTTTCACACTGTACAGACTTAGCTAGTGAAAAAGCAGTTTAAAACTGAAACGTGTAGGGTTAGCTTTCAACTGAAACTCAGAGTAGGATTCTGTTTACTGAATATTGATACCTGCACTGCAGAAAATTGATATATGTTTTACCTATTATGTTGTTAGTTTTTAAATTTCTGCTTCAGTATTGATTGTTTTATATTTATAGCATTGTAACCTGGGGTCCTAGGACAAAGGGTAGGATGTAAGTTTAATCAATAATTTTATAATAATATTTACTTTTCCTCTTGTTCTTATATTTTGTTTTCTACTTGGGGTATGTATCTGATGAGGTAGCTTTTGATAAACCTCATGCACTCTGCAACTTTTAATTTGCAACAAAGTGCTGCAGGATTTCTTCTTGTGTTCTTATGCTATAAACAAACATGGCTTCTACACTAGCAGGTGATTGCTGGTTACACAAGTCCCGGTTCATTATTGCCATCTAATTTTTAATAGGATTAGAATGCTAGGTATTATCTCACTGGGTATAGTGTCAAGAGCTTCAGTAATGTTACTGCTTTGTAAAAAGAATACAACCTTTTTGCTTTCATATTACAGGTTGAAATTGAGAAGAAATGGATAAGGCTTGATGGCGAAGATTCCAATAAATGTGGCAGTTGTCAAATGCAGTAGTGAGGAATCGAACTGAAGAGTCTGATGTGCTGCTAGGACTGTGGGGGAAAGTGCTTTATATATTGCCTCCAAATGAATTCGCAAGGCAGTGGACTACAGCATATTCTCTGCAGTTTGTCATGTTGAAAGACCAGATACTACTGGAAGTTTGTGCTCCTAACTTTTAGCTTACTGACCAATGTTATCCTTTAAAAAGCTAAAGCACACAAAGTCAATTCACAGTATCTTGAAAATTAGTGGCACTTGATATGAACTCTTGTAAGGCAGTTGGTTATGAAGCATTTAGACTTAACATCGAATATATATTTTGCCGTGGTCCAGAAAGGTAAATTATAAATTTCAAACTAAGTTATGTATTACAGCAAGCCTGCAACTTATGTGGGGGTTATATTCCGGGGATTGCACTTAAAGCCAAAATTGTGTACAGTCCAAACACATGGGGTTCAGTGTCGGGTGGGATTGCCAAAGTCATTTTTTATAGAATCATGGAGTTGGAAGGGACCCCAAGGATCATCTAGTCCAACCTCCTGCAGTGCAGGAATAAGCAGCTGTCCCATACAGGGATCAAACCTGCCTCATTGGCGTTATCAGCACCATGCTCTAACCAACTGAGCTGTCCAGGCTGATTCCTGGAACTCTACCTTTCCACTCCCTTTTTATTTATTTTTTATTTTTTGCCATGAACACATAACTGAATGTAAACAAGTTAAACATGCATAAGTTGTGGATATACTGTATATATATTTGTAGGTACTTCGTGAATGTAATCATATGTCTTGCTCTTCCCAGTATTGGTAAATACATGTAATGCAAGCCTAAAGTACAGTGGTGCCTCGCAAGACGAAATTAATCCGTTCCGCGAGTCTCTTCGTCTTGCGGTTTTTTCGTCTTGCGAAGCACCGCTATTAGTGGCTTAGCGGCTATTAACGGCTTAGCGGCTATTAACGGCTTAGCGGCTATTAACGGCTTAGCAGCTTAGCGGCTATTAACGACTTAGCAGCTTAGCGGCTATTAACGGCTTAGCGGCTATTAACGGCTTAGCGGCTATTAGCGGCTTTAAGAAAAAGGAAACAAACTCGCAAGAACTCGCAAGACGTTTCGTCTTGCGAAGCAAGCCCATAGGGAAATTCGTCTTGCGGAACGACTCAAAAAACGGAAAACCCTTTCATCTAGCGAGTTTTTCGTCTTGCGAGGCATTCGTCTTGCGGGGCACCACTGTATATTGAAAAGGGGTGTCATTTGGCAGAGCAGATAAGAGTTTCAGTGGCTCATAAATGTGATCTTTTTGGATGATTCCACTATATTATTCCTGTACAGAGGAATATATGTATGGAAAATGTTACTTTTGAATCCCAAATCTACACTGGCTTTTCAGAATAGTTCCTGTCAGGAGTTTAATTCATTGCTTTCAGCATTTCTTTGAAATCTATTGCATACATTCTTCCACACAGGAAGGCATACCATGTTTCAAATAGCTAATAAGTGCTGCTCTTTCAGCCTCTCCTGTTTGAATCTGTAAATGGAAGTTTTTTCCTTTCGTTCTTTGGAAGGGGACTCTGCCTGGGCTCATGGGGGGGAAAGGCATTGTGGGTAATAAAAATTCTTGACCTGAAAGGATGAGGCAAAGTTTTCATTTCAGGATCTTGGACAGAACAGAGTTATTTTTAACACATTGCCAACTATTATGAATTATTTTGGATCTCCAACAGGAACAGATGTCAGATCTGGAACAAAAGCATGTCCTGAATTGCTAGTCAAAGAAGCTATAAGATCCAGGAGACTCCAGAAGAACGTGGAAAGTGAGATGTTCCTTTGCGTTGCCAGCTGAGCTAGAGTTTGCTTAAGGGGTGTGCCACAGAAGACTTCTAAGTCTGAAGGAAATATGAAACTGTAAATGCTTTGACAACCACCTTAACCTTTTAGATGCTGACTTTTAAGCTTGTAGGACAGTTCTAATTGTCCCCTTATGGGAGACATCATCTTTGTCCTTTCCTTTTTGAGGCCTTTCTTGTATACTCTAGAAGCCAGAGAAGTGTCTGTCTCTGTTTTAATCTGTATTGATGGATTTCTGCTTTATTGCGATTGCTCTAGATGATATATTTGCTGTGTGTAAGTCTTTTTGGAATAAAGCTGTAATAGCATACTTCATCTCACTTTAATATTTTGTCCCTGCTGCAGATATTAAATATGGGCCTTAACACTTCAGCTAATTCGCCCCAAAGGGAAAATGATTTAGAATAAATTGAGTTTTATTAATCTGGGAAAACATAGTTTATATTATAATTCCAGTTCAATGGAAGTGGATATTAAGTTACAGTCTCAATTCTCTATGTAGCTTTGTCCCAACAGTTAATTTTGAAGATACAACAGCTTCTCTAATCTCATTTTACTGGTAAATTGTCTTGAAATGTCAAAAGAGCCTTTAGGTGATAATAGCTCTGGTATATGCTGTTTGTTAGATGGATGGATGGGGTTTTTTTTGGTCTCAGAGGAGGAAAAATGTTGGTTCTTTAGGTCATATTGAGGCTCAAATGCTAGCCAATTTACCTTTCACATTTAGTCTGTCATTTTCAAGCTCATCTGATAGCTCAAACCCCATTTATTCTAACAGGATTCAGTTGTACTCTGGTATAGAAAAACATAACCCTTTCCAGATTTTTAAGGGTGGCAAATGCATTTTGGAAAAGGGAAATGGATCTTGTCTCCAGCGCAGCATTCCAGAGGTCGAACTCTTCATTTTAAATCATTGGCTGAAGAGAACTGTGCACACCATCACTTGTGAAGGGTGGTGCAACTGTGTTGCTTTGCATACTTGTTGGTTGGTGAGGCAGCGCGTACCTCCGCTTACTTAAGTGGATAGTTCAGTTTCTGTGTGGATCAGTGTGCTTTAAAGCAGGCTGTACTCATTTTTGCTATTTGTTTGCCCTTGAAAAGATGGTGTAAATCTATGTTTGATTATTGCCTATGTTTACAAGCCACAAAAGAATACACCTATTGTTGTTGTTTAGTTGTTTAGTCATGTCCGACTCTTCATGACCCCATGGACCAGAGCACGCCAGGCACTTCTGTCTTCCACTGCCTCCCGCAGTTTGGTCAAACTCATGCTGGTAGCTTCAAGAACACTATCCAACCATCTCGTCCTCTGTTGTCCCCTTCTCCTTGTGCCCTCCATCTTTCCCAACATCAGGGTCTTTTCCAGGGAGTCTTCTCTTCACATGAGGTGGCCAAAGTATTGGAGTCTCAGCTTCAGGATCTGTCCTTCCAGTGAGCACTCAGGGCTAATTTCCTTAAGAATGGATAGGTTTGATCTTCTTAATACACCTATTAGTATCCTCCAAACTGAGAACTTTGGGTGGAATTCAACTCCATACTAAGGTGGTCATTCCATCAGCGCAAGCATTTCTACTTACCAGGTAGAATGATCTCCCCTCTTTTCTCCCCACACACTGCTCTGGGGGTTCTCCTGACCCCCTGAGCAGATTTGAGGAAGGCATGAGGAGGGGAGGGGAGGGCAAAGTCCCATTGTGCTGGTCCAGGGGCGAGGTTACCGTGGGGCGAGGTCCAGGACCTGAGTTGAGGGTCGGCAGACAGTCCTCCTCGGGCGAAGCGGGGTCCACAGCGAGAAGCCGGGCAAGGACAGGAACTCTGGGGGAACAGGACTGGATGCTGGCCGAAACAGCTCTTCAACGGCGTTGCTCCCGCAACCTGGGACCGGGCTGACTGGCCTTTATCTTCTCTGAGGCCAGGGGCGGCCCCGCCCCCCAGGAGACCCGCCTCTCCTGGCCTTAAGGCGAGCACTCCTCCTGGGAGAAACCAGTTCCCTTCGCCTCTCTGCCCTTCGCCTCTGCAGTTCAGGAGAGGCTGAAGGGTTACTGGACCCAGGGGGAGACTCACCTGTAGGCACTGAGTCCTCAACCACCTCCAGAGCCGGAGTGGATTCACCTGGTGCCTGCTCCTGAGGATCCGGCACAGGTGCAGGCGCTTCAGAATCAAGGCCCTGCCCCAGTTCAGCCGGCCCTGGAGGCGGGGACTCCTGTGCAGGCTGGGATTCCTCCGGTTCAGCCTCTGAATCGGTTTCCCAGGCCATCACACCCATTGTGCTGATGGGACTCGTTGCACTTGCTTCTGCTAGTAGCAACTATCCTTCAGCTATCCTTAACCTAGTCAGGTCCAGGTGTACTTCAGAGCACAGTGTCCAGTTTTGAACACTAAAATATCAGAATTAGGTGGATGATAAGTTTATGGGTTATGTGGAAGTGTGAAAACACAAAACGCTACATTGATAAGAATTCAGCCATGACCATGCTGTTCCTAGAAACACTTCTCTTGAGAAAGTTGCACTGAGTCTTAACACTTTGATAGCCATAATAAAGCAAATTCATTTGATTGCAGGGTGAACTTAAATCCAAGCAAATGTGCATCTTTAAAATACTTTTGGCGAGTCAGGCCAGACAGCAGCCGATGTCGGATTTTGGTTTAAATTTCTTCTTCAACCTAACACTAAGGAACAAATGCTAGTGAGAGAATTTTGCTTCTTAGTATCAAGAAACAACTAAACTAGAGTTCTGAATATTCTATGCCTTAAAAATATATGGAAGTCTCCTGTTGTGCTCAGAAGGTTTAGTTTCACATACTGCTGACTAAGCCCACCCCCAACATGCATAGTGGTCTCCCCCTTGTGTCTGCAACCCTGAGTCCTCCAATTAAGCCAGGAGTGGGGAACATTGCTCAGGCCACATGTCAAAGGAGAGTAGGCTCAGAAGCCAAACTGGGCAGAGCAGTGAACTTAAATGTACTTTTATAGGGGTAGGCTAATATCTGCTCACCCTCTCTATGAAGCTGCTGGGAGAGATCATCAGGGGGTTTGGGCTGGGTATTCACCAGTATGCAGATGATACCTAGCTCTACCTCTCTTTTAAATCAGAACCAGTGAAGGCGGTGAAGGTCTTGTGTAAGTGCCTGGAGGCAGTTGGAGGATGGATGGCAGCTAACAGATTGAGGTTGAATCCTGACAAGACAGAAGAACTGTTTTGGGGGAACGGGGCGGGTGGGTGTGGGGGACTCCCTGGTCCTGAATGGGGCAACTGTGCCCCTGAAGGACCAGGTGCGCAGCCTGGGAGTCATTTTGGACTCACAGCTGTCCATGGAGGCGCAGGTCAATTCTGTGTCCAGGGCAGCTGTCTACCAGCTCCATCTGGTACACAAGCTGAGACCCTACCTGCCCGCACACTGTCTTGCCAGAGTGGTGAATGCTCTGGTTATCTCCCTCTTGGACTACTGCAATGTGCTCTACGTTGGGATACAGTACCTTTAAAGGTGAACTGGAAACTGCAACTAATCCAGAATGCGGCAGCTAGACTGATGACTGGGAGTGGCCACCGAGACCATATAACACTGGTCTTGAAAGACCTACATTGGCTCCCAGTACATTTCTGAGCACAATTTCAAGTGTTGGTGCTGACCTTTAAAGCCCTAAACGGCCTCGGCCCAGTATACCTGAAGGAGCGTCTCCACCACCATCGTTCTGCCCAGACACTGAGGTCCAACTCTGAGGGCCTTCTGGCAGTTCCCTCCCTGCAAGAAGTCAGGTTACAGGGAAGCAGAAAGAGGGCCTTCTTGGAAGTGGCGCCCGCCCTGTGGAATGCCCTTCCACCAGATTTCAAGGAAATAAACAACTATCCAACTTTTAGAAGACATCTGAAGGTAGCCCTGTTTAGAGAAGTTTTTAATGTTTGAAGCTTTATTCTGTTTTTTAATGTTCTGTTGAAAGCTGCCCAGAGTGACTGCAGAAGAAATAATTTATCATCATCATCATCATCATCATCATCATCATCTAGGCCCCATTCAGGCAAACAAAAGCCATTCTTTGAATTCATGACACATTGCAGTCATGTCAAACAC